ATTTGCATACTCAACAAGCTGGCCCCTCCAGTCACTCACCCGTGACTGGGAGGTCTGCTGAGGAGTGGGACATGTGGAGATTGCATGGCCTGAATCCCTGGTTTAACAAATTAGAGCCTCGGAGACACTGCAAGGCTAACCAATCATGGCAGAAAACTTTTCAAAGTTGAACGTGTGACAGAAAGATTCATCCATTGCCTGGTTGATTCCGCCCCCTGCCCCAACCTTCAAACTCTCTTCAAACAAATGCCCCCCTTCCCTCATGATAGATCTATATATCCTTGAAGGCAGCTTGGCAGATAGATAAGGTGGTTAAGAAGGCATTTGGAATACTTGCCCTGAAGGCATTGAATACAAGAGCAAAGAAGTAATGACGGAGCAGTATGTAATGTTAGTTAGGCCATAGCTGGAGTTTCCATCATCACATGTGGAATGCATTGCCGGAGAGAGTAGTGGAGTCGGCCTCATTAGAGGCATTTAAGTGGCTATTAGATAGGCATATGGATGATAGTATGAGGTAGGGGTGGAGGTTAGATAGACCTTAGGTTTAGGGTAAAAGTTTGGCACAACATCGTGGGCTGAAGGGCCTATACTGTGCTGTACTGTTCTATGTTCTATGTTCTATAGATGTGATTGCATGAGAAAGGATACAGAAGAAATTCAACAGGATGTTGCCTGGGCTGGGGTGATTCTGCTATGAAATGAGACTTGATAGGTTGGAGTTTCCTTCCTTAGAGTACAGAAGGCTGAGGGATGATCTGACTGAAGTGTACAAAGCTCTGAGGGTCATAGACAATGCAGGTAGCGAGAAACATTTCCCCTTTGCAGAGTGGTCAGTAACCAGAGGGCACAGTTTTCAGGTAAGGATCGAAAAATTTAGACGGGATTTGAGAAAAATGTTTTTCACCCCCAGAGAGACATCTGAAACTCTTTGCCTAAAAGGGTGGCAGAGGCAGGAACCTTCAACACATTTAAGAACTATTTAGATGAACATTTAAAACACAATAGCATACCTGGGTGTGAACCAAAAGCTGGAAAATGAGAATAGAGTACATAGATGTTTGATGACTGGCATGGACATTTTTGTTTATATTTTGCTTTCGACAGTATTTACCATCTACAAAGAGACCTTTTCAGGATATGGTTTTCTGTTTTTCCATGAAAAATTCACACTTGCATCAAGTCATAATTAACCTTGCCATGTGGGTAACCACTTTACAAGTTTAGTTGTAAAACATGTTTGGATTTCTGTGTATGGGTCAGAAATCGCACAACGCTAGGTTATAGTCCAGGTTTATTTGAAAACACAGGCTATGCTCCAAAAGCTTGTTTCCAACTAAACTCTTTGGACTATAACCTGGTGTCATGCGATTTCCGAACTTGTCCACCCCAGTCCAACACTGGCACCTCCACATTCTGTGTATGGATAAGCAAGGCATTGTGTCCAGAGTACGCAACTGAATATTATTAATGTGTTACAAGTGAAATGGTTTGCAAAACTGCAATCCTGTAAACTTGGTACTTGTTGTTCTCTGGCCACTATCTATGATTTGTTTTGCAGCAGTGGATCAAGGTCACTTGAATTGAAATGAAACTATTTTAAAAATCTTCAAAAGCAACAAATTGTGAACACAAAAGTATTGTTAACAAAATAAGAACACAAGGAGCTGCTTTTAATGTTGGCAACTTAATTACAGCTTTTCAACACATGCATTAACTTTTCCTGTATGTTGATACTTTCATGGTAAAATTTATTTGAAAAATCTTTCTCAAATCATTCTGCATGCAGCTGGATCAGGTGAGAGCACTTGTAGTGAACGCTAAGAGAAGAAAAATGGCATTTTCATGCATTTGATTTTTCATGACAAATCAGTTTCACCAATTCTTTGCTGTCTGGCTTATTGATTTCCTTTCCGCCAGCATTAGTGGCCATGTTCTCAAATGTTCATGGCGCATGAATTTATGTGGCCTTGAGAAAAAGGGGAAAAATAGAGACTGATGGACAGGCAGGGCCAAAGCAGAACTGGACACCACTTGGATCTTGGTGTGGGGCTCAGTCATGGAAGAAAGTGAGCTCGTGACCCCAGTCTTTGTTCTTGAAACACAATTGAAGATTTTTAAAATAGTTTCATTTCAATTCAAGTGACCTTGAATCATACCTTTGTTTTGCAGAGAACAACAAGTACCAAGTTTACAGGATTGCAGTTTTGCAAACCATTTCACTTGTAACACATTAATAATAGTCAATATCCTATAGTTTGGGAACCACTGTTCCAAACCATTCTGCATCTCTTTCTCCTTTAAAATACAGTTATTTGAAACCTGTCTTTGACAAAACTATCCCAATATCTCCTTGTGATGTGAAATTTTGTCTACTAACAATCTCGGTGAAATACATTGAAATCCTTTTCCTTAGTGATGTGCTATGTAAATACAAGTAATTAATGATCTGGATTCATAATGCAAAATATTCAGGAGATTGTATTTTTGTAGCTGGCACCCTGCTTTAAATGTTATAAGTTAAACATGTCCTCTATGAGTTAAGCTATCTGACTAGATAGCTCACAAGTGACCTCCGTTACTTGTGTAAATATTTGTCAAACATTGTCAGTCATGATGTGTGACCTATAACACTTGGGTGAAGAAATGTCAGCAAAAATTCAAAAGGAAGGATCAATTTCTATCGGCATTAGTTTACAAATGGCGCTGCCAGGATAGTATTGGTTGCATGCAGAAATAATTCAACCAAGCAATTAACATGAAGGTAACAAACTACCTGTAAACCACATTCAATGTGTATTGATGTGATTAATGTCTATATTTGTGTTTGTGTAATCATAGAGACATACAGCATGGAAACAAACCCTTCAGTCCAACTTATCCATGCTGACCAAGTTTTCCAAACTGAAGTAGTCCCGCTTGCATACGTTTGGCCCATGTCCCTCTAAACCTTTCCTACTCATGTACTTGTCCAAATGTTTTAAAATTTTTTTACTGTACTTTCATTTACCACTTCGTCTGGCAGCTCATTCCACATACAATCCAAGCTCTGTGTCAAAATGTTGCCCTTCAGGTCTCTTTTAAATCTTTCTCTTCTTTCCTTAAAAATATGTCCCCTTGTTTTGAAATCCCCCACCCTTGGGAAAAGACTTTTGTTATGCATCTTATCTGTGCTCTTCATGATTTTATAAACCTCCCTTAGGTAATGCCTCAACCTCCCACATTTCAGTGAAAAAAGCCCAGCATTTCCAGCCTCTCCCTAGAATTCAAACCCTCAAGTCCTGGCAACATCGTGGTGAAGCTTTTCTGGACCGTCTTCTATTTAATAATATCCTTCCTATAGTGATGATACTATGGCTTTAACAAGTGCAATTTGCCCTGGTTTGTTTTTTCATGAAGGAAGGTTGGGACAGAGGTGCTGATCAGTCTAGTCAGAGACAATAAAGTGAACAGTTTGTGAGGCCTTGGGTTTTTAAAAAAAAAAAGTTGAAGCAATAGAAGCAGCCTGAATGGGTGGGGTCAAGCTCTCCAGAGCCAGGATTTTTAGTTTTAGTTTTTCAGTAGCAATTGCTGCTGGAGTCTTCAAGCTGGATATGGAAGCTGTTTTTCCTATGTCTGTTAAACCTAAAAGTTGGGGTTCTCTACCTGCTGCTGTAATTACTTGTGAGACAATCTATTTCACTGAACTTGCCTTTGCCGAGGGTGTGTTTATGGAATGTTACTATTTTGGAACAGTTACTGTTTCGTAGTTAAATAATCTATTATTCTGTTAAGTTTTCCAATAGATTTGAGTTATTCAAATTTTTTTCTTTTCTTGTCTTTTAACTATAGTGTATAAATAAAATGTATTTTGCTTCAAGACTGGTAGTTTTACCAAACAAAATGCATCCAGAACAGAACACCTGGCACTTTCCTGTAAAATAAGAAAATGTTGGGGTCTAGGCTATCTTCTTAATATTTTGAGGTAGTTTGGTTTGATCCATAACATTATAGCAGGGTGACCAGAACGGTACACGTTACTCCAAAAGTCGTCTCACCAATGTCCTGTACTACCTCAACATGATGTCCCAACTCCTATACACGGTGGTCTGAGCAATGGAGGCGAGTGTGCTAAATCCCTTTTTAACTATTCTGTCTACCTGTGGCGCGACTTACAAAGAACTATGTACCTGAACCCTAATTTAATTTTTGTAAATGCACAGTCAATAATTTCAGTTTCATGAAATGGTCCTTTTAAGGGTCTTACTTTTCTACTTAGAAGAGAAGTCAGAATGACATGGTGGACAATTTGAACTTAATGCTACCAACTATTAAATGTGCTGGCATCTTAGACCAATACAACCCACAAATGGGAAACTGTGCGTCATCTTTAGAATGAAAATTAGAGATTTAAATTCCAACAATGTGATTTGCAAAAAGGATAATGCTATTAAGTTAGACAACATTTTAACTGTTGCAGAGAAAAGTAACAATAATTGAATGTAACTCTGGGACAGAGGAGTGTCAGACCAAGGGACGAAGAAATCATTTTGTTGGTATTCTTAAGAGTAATGAGAGGTTTGCAGGAAGAAAAGATCATGTGGCTAAAAAGAGACAATTTTCTAAAAAAATGGGTATAAAGTTGATCAACTAGTTAAGAGTTAATTATTACTATTTGAAGCTGCATGATTTACAATTAAATTTTAAGTTTGACACATGGCTTGCCAGTTATAGACTTACTTCGATGTTTGAATTGGTTGGTAGCATACTGACAGCCTGTTATTCTCCACACCCGCTGTTCAGTTCCATTGCATTGAACATATATTAAGCGGCTACTACCCATTTACTACCACTTCGCATAATGTTATGCTAGAAAATATCTTGTGTCTGAACCCATTTCGAAGAGAGTATATATGCTACTAGAATATTTATTTGATCAGAATTTAAACTGTAAAACTAAAATTTAAAATATTCCTCATTTCATATGTATAAAACTTTTTTAAAAAAAAATCTTTCTCCAGAAAAAGTACAAAAAGGGCTCCATTGATATACAAAGGATCAAGTGTGCAGAAATAGTGAAACATGACACTGGCCCCATTCCTTGCCAGAACAAGTATCCTTTTCAGGTATGTCAACTTGTCATCATTCTTTCTTTTTAAATCATTTGGACTTGATTTTGTTTTCTCTTGGAATCTGGATGTTGATGGCAAGGTTGTATTTCTTGTCCAGACTTATTGCCACTGAAGAGAGCTACAACTGTTATATTCGGTGTGCTGAAAGATGAGGATTAAGTTTGTCAGAAGGGCCACAAGAATGCTGACCATGGCATCCTGGATCAGGAGGCTGAATAAAAGGGGAGGACAGGAAGAGTCTTGTATTTTGGGGAGGCGATGTATATCAAGTACTGGGGGAGTCCTCTGTAGCGGGATTGAGTGTTCAGGATGGTGTGCTGTACACTTGGTGCCAGGGTCAAGGACTCCTTGAAACTAATGGCTGAATAGCTGCTCAGAGATTCTGTGCATGCTGGTTGGTTTGCCAATGCATTGGCTTCCACTTTTGAAGCTGCTGCAGTGCAAAGACCTCAGAGGTCTGTGAAGTAGGAAGAGTAATTAGAGGACCTTTTCTTGAAATAGCTTGAAGGGATACTTCAGTGGATGGGGAGATTCAATATTGGAACGAACAACATGGACATGACATGGGCAAGATTGTGCTAGAGACTAAGAGCTAATAAAAAATCTCAAGTTTGTCTTCTTTTTTTTTTTCACAGGCTAGTCATGATAATCAGGACATAGTCAAGGTATTACCATTCCTAGATATGTTGTACCTAGCAAGACAGATCCACCATAGGTAGAGGCATAATAGCATGCAGCAGTGGGGGTGGGATGTGTATGAAGAATTGCCCTGATTGTCGTCTTGACTTTGGACTCATGAAGTCTGGTGAAACATGGACAAGGAAACCTGTTGATTACAGCTTATGATGACCACTACCACCACAACCACAAAGAGAAAAACCACTTGACCTCATATTCACCCATTCACCTGTAACAGAATTATCTGGTCTTGACAATATTTAAGAGGGGTGACCACCGCGTAGTTCTTGTGGAGTCGGATGTGTTTTTACATTGAGGATACCTTCCATTGTGCCATGTTTTACCACGCTAATTGGGCAGACATCAAAGTGATCAAACAAGTCAAAGCTGGACATCTATGAAGAACTGTAGGCTATTCACTGCAGAATAATATTCACCCACAATCTCTAACCACAGGTTAGAAACGTCAGACTGGGAGATCAACCCTGAAAGTGTGAGGGTGATGCATTTTGGGAGGAGTAACAAGGGAGTACTCAATGAATGGAAGGACACTAGGAAGCTCAGAGGAAAAGGAGGATTTTGGAGTGCTTGCCTATAGATCCCTGAAGGAGGCAGGGCAAGTTAATAAGGTAGTTAAGGCATGTGGGACACTTGTTTTATCAGTCATGGTAAAGATTATAAGAACAGGGAGGTTACGTTGATGCTGTATAAGACTTTGGTTAGGCCACACCTGGGGTACAATTTCCTGCTCTGGTCACCTCCATGTCGAAGAGATGTGATTACACTGGAGGAGATACAGAGGAGATTCACCAGCATGTTGCCTGAGATGGAACATTTTTCTATGAAGAGAGGCTGAATAGGCTTGTGTTGTTTTATTTAGAGCAAAGAAGGCTGAAAGAGTGTCCTAACTGAGGTGTATAAGATTATGAGGAGCATGGGCAGAGTGGATCGGAAGCAGCTTTTCCTCTTAGTTGTAGGGTTAATGATGAGGGGACACAAAAGTGAAAGACAAAAGCTTTAGAGGGGCTTTGAGGAAAATGTTTTCATGCAGAGAGTGGTGGGCAATTCAGAGAGGTTTCAGTTGGATGATCCCTACTATGGAGAGATTTTCTTATGATCAAAGGCTAAACAGATTAGGATTCCACTCACTGGAGTTCAGAAGAATGAGAGGTGATCTCATTGAAACATGTAGGATTCTTAAGGGGCTTGACTGGGTAAATGCTGCAAAGCTGTTTCCCCTCATGGGAGAGTCTAGGACCAGAGGTCTAGTCTCAGAATAAAGAGGCACCAATTTAAGACTGAGATGAGGACAAATTTCTTCTTTGAGGGTTGAGAGTCTTTGGAACTCCTTGTCACAGAGAGCTTTTGGGGGCACAGTCCATGTGAATATTTAAAGCTGAGATAGATCGATTCTTGATCAGTTGGAGAATAAAGGGTTATGGGGAAAGGACATGAAAGTAAATGTGAAGAATGTTACAGTAGCCATGATTCTATGAATGGCAGAGCAGACTTGAGCTGCCAAACAATCTATTCCTGTTCCAATTTCTTATGGTCTCACGGAATCTGGAATGCACCATCTGTGAGAGTATGAGAGGTAGGAAACCTCATGACCTCTCTATGACCTTTTTAATAAGCAAGGCTGTGAGCCAAGTGCTGGAAAATGGACTTAGTGTAGATAGGTCAGTACAAACTCAATAGGCTGAAGGACCTCTTCTGTATGATTCTGTGTGCTGTGGAAAAGAAAGTGCCCAGGTTAGTCCTGTAAACAATGTACAGGAGAAATTTAACCTGTCTAGTTACTGTCTTACTAGATTGCTCTCAGTTGTTAGCAGAGTTATGCAATAAATTGTTGATAGTATTATCATGTGTCACTTGTTCAGTAATTACCTGCATGCTGATGCTCAGTTTAGGTTGTACCAGGGCTACTTAGCTTCTAACCTTATTACAGCCTTGGTGCAAACATGGACAAAAGGTTTGAACTCCAGAGGTGAAGTGAGAGTGACTGTCCTTGACAGCAAGTCAGTATTTAGAATGTGACATCGAGGAGTCTCAGCAAAGCTCGAGTCAATGAGAATTTGCGAGTCTCAATGAAACTGCCAATGATTTTATGAAGAAAGGAAGTCCACATTGAGGCCTGAAGGACCAAGGAAAGCTCTTGAAGAAATCTGGCAGGAAAATTGGGAAAATGTAGTTTTCCATGTTAAAGTTGCAAAAATTGCTGCAGTTGAAGGAATGGGAATATAGGAGACTGGCATACTATTAAAAAGAGTTTCTAATGTTGCATTGGAACTATGTAATTTTTATCTATTTTTGCAAATGAAGGATTGGTTTGAATTTTTGAATGTTTACTTAGTTTGAAAGGGTTGTTTTTTAGTTGAAACTTGAGCATAAAAGTTCATACCTTGTGCTGTATGGTAATCTTCAACCCAAAAACTGCCATCTAACTTGTTAATGTCTTGCCATAACGCTACCAAATCATGAGCAGCCTCAAAAGAAGTAGTGGCTCCTATGCCTATGTGATGTGGTGTGTTAAACATGAATAATTCCTCTATTCTAACATTGCTGTAATTCTGCCTTTCGTGGATGAATTGTTGTTCTTAAAAAGAATTTCTATTTTGAGATTCTGTTCAGTGTGCTTTCATACAATTGAGCAAGGTCTTTGTGTACCAATGTCCTCAGTGTCAAAAGGGGCTGCAAATGTATTTGCAACACAGTTTCACCCTTGAGCTATCAGTCTATGTTTCATTCAGCCATTCTTAATTTTCAAGATAGCTTAGTGCAATGTTCTTCTTTAAATATTTTTGTCTTCTAGATACTTTCTAAGTGATTTGTTACCTGTTTTAAAGATACAGATGGATCTGGAAGCTTCTAGAAATTCCCATGCATTTTATTGTTGGATTTTGAGACGTCTTTGTGACAAAACCAGACATTTCTCTCCACAAATTGAATTAGCTTTCTTGTCAAATGTACTCAAATGAGTACAGTGAAACTTTTATGTTGCCACTTAGAGTGCCATCTTGGGTACAAAGGTACCTAGATACAATTCTTAGTTACAGAATAGAGACATGAAAAAAGTTACATTACAGCTATACACAATATGACCATTGGTCAGAAAAACAAGAAGCAAAGTTAAAAAGACAAACATCACAGTCTTTCTCCAAAGGCTGTCTGCAGCAGACCAATGCAGGAGGCCTCCACGTGGTCTGACTGCTAGCTGCTGTCACGCTCTGCACTTGGCTGCTGGTCACTGGTGTTGCTGCTTCGGGCCATTGGTCATTGGAGTCTCTAACTGCTGACCCTGTTCCAAGGCCGAGAGAAGAGACGAGAGACGTACAAAAAAGAACAGGCGGAGCAGAGCTCCAGCTGGAGGGTCCTACTCTGCTGCCAACTTACTGTCCTTGAAATCTACCATTTAATTCTAATATTAATTTGGAGGTGTCACAGGCTTTAAAAGGACAGATGAATTCACATTATTGCTTGCAAGTCTCCATCCACACTCCCTTCCAGCTTTTAAAGTTTTTATATAAAATTATGCAATGTTGTAAAGGAAATGCTTGACAAAACAAAAAAATTGAAAGCAGTGCAGTTTTCACAATCTCGAAGTTGCCATATGACTAATATATACAAGGAAAGGGAACTGAAGACTTGGTAAAGCAGTTTCTATAGACACATTAACATAAAACCATCAAATTGCTAAATTTGAAAAACTTCATATGAACTGCTATCTTCATTCCAAAATAAAATAGAAAAAGGTGACTTGCATTTATGTTATGCCTTTCACAAATGCCACATTTCTAAGCACTTCTCAGCCAACTGAGTATATTTGAAATGTCATAGTTACAGGAAATGCAGCAGCTGAATTGCACACATTCAAGCTCCTACAAAGTGACATGCTAATGTCCAAATAATATCAATGGCTTGAAATTTGGAAAAGTTATAGCGGGAAACTTGGACAATACAGTATACCTTCAGTATTATCCTTGAGTGCCTCTTGATTTTTGTTTTTGCTGAAGTCCCAGAGTAGGGAAAAATTATTTAGTCTTTGGGCTTAACTTGCAAAAAAAGCAGAAGTTCAGACCAGACTAACTTCCATCTGTTGCTGCATTGATTTGGTGCTGACACATGAAATCTGTTTCCATGTACAAGTCTAATCTAATAAAATGATGAATGACTGTGGTCATGTTTTAGCTTTGACATCAAAATATAAGTAATACTTGGAACTTGAACATCCTGGAAATGTTTTTTAAATGGAATTCTAAATTTTCACGAGTTGAAATATTACATAGAAATTAATCCACTCAGTATCATACTGTTAT